TGGCACAGTGGAGCAGCAATGGGCTCCAGTTTAACCGTCATTGTGAGGATGGTGCCGGACTGGGCAGTGTTTCATTCTGCTGTTGTGCATCAAATCTCTATGATTTGGAACAGACTTAGTGACACCTAACATCAACAACACTGATGTGTAGTTGTCATGCTTTTTAAAAAAGGTAGACTAGTTATATGCCCTGTTAACAGCTTGGGTCTTGGTTTGAATACACCTGAAATCATTATTGGATTAGATGATCTTGAAGAGCTCTCGATTATAATACATCATGATTTCTAGTCCAGAAAATGGTGACATTCATCTGCACTTTGGAATTATTCTGGTCATATTGGTTGTTGTTGTTTTAAGTGCCATCTAATTAGTTGTGACTCAGAGCGATCCTGTATAGAGTTTCTGAGGAGCAGCTGGTGGGTTTGAACCACCGACCTTGTGGGTCGCCACCCAGTGCTGATCCTACAGTGCCCCACCAGTAAGACTCTCATTACTAGAGCATTCATTCCAGACTGTCCTGTGTATGAATCTTCCAGGAGTAAGGTAGTACTTGTGTGGTCCACAAAGGTGGAACCCCAGCTAGTGTCTGCGGTGCTGGTAATAGGTGCAGCTTGTGTGCCATGGCCATGTGGAAGGATGAAGATGGTGGTACTCATCATTGGAAGGAAGGGAAGTCAGGTGCTTACACCGCCCTGGAACCCCTGTAAGACTATGCCTGCCAGAGAAGGAAACCTCAAGTATTTTCCATGAGAGAAAGCCATAGAAAGGTAGTGAGACATCATCCTGTCAAAGGCAGAAAACTTGTGGAAACTTAGAGACCATGCAAACATAGACCAGTGATTATGCTCATGGAGTCTGAATCGGAACGTGGGGTGGGACACAGTGGGGATGGCCTAGTGCCACAGCTAGGGAAACTGGTGAAGTATCTGGGGGTGATTTCAGCTGTGGGGTGGGACTCAACTGGAAGCTTCTTCCATTACATGGCTGGACTGGGATGGCCCAGAAGGCTGGAACCTCACTGAGCTGCTCTCTGTAGTCTTCAGGCCTCTTTCTTGTTTGTGGGCTGTCCTTTATGATGGACTCTGGGGAGTTGGACTTCTGACTTGGTGGTTCAGAGTTCCAAGAACGAGCATTCAGTGAAGCTGACCAAAGTGGCATGGCCTTCTGTGACCTCACCTTGGGAGTCACCTAACTTCACTTCCATTGTCCGCATTAGACGGGAGGACCTAGACACCAGTTTTCGATGGTAGCAGCGGCCATCCCTGTTTGAAAACTGTCCCAGTGCCAGTTGTGTAATCCAGGTAGCAGATGGTAGGAGTTTGTGCCAGTGGAGGTCGTGAAAATTGGCAGGACCTTACCTGTATTTTGAAGACATTATATGCTGTTGGACTTGTTGATGGGTATCGGATATGAGAACCACGTATACACACACACACACACACACACACACACACACACACACACACACAATCAAGGCGGATTCCAAAGTCTTGGATGTAAGTGTCTGGGAACATTGTGAAAAAGAAATATTCTGATCCTTCTTTGAAATGTGGAGCGCTGGAAATTTCATAAAATTCTCAGGTGTCATAGTTTCCAGAAGAAACTCAGGAAGGTTGAGGAAGAATCCAGTCATTATAAAAATCTTGCTAGGCTCCATTGTTCTTAGTGATCCTGGTGGGAGTCTTTCTAGAACAACCTCCATGTGACAGCGTAACTAGTCTGCACTTTGAAACCAAGCAGAAGTCGTTGGCAAAGTTGGTCAAGGTGGAGAAGGGCTCAGTATTCATGAAACACACACTGTTACTGAGTAAGGGGCTAAATATTCAATGCGTTCCCTCAGTTAGCTTTTTAAAAATTTTTAATTTTTTTTTTTCAGTTAGCTTTTGACAACACTGTAGAAGTTGTTGTTGTTACGTGCCATTGACTTGGTTCTGACCCACAGCAACCCTGTATAGGGTTTCCAAGGAGCAGCTGGTGAGCTTGTACTGCCAACCTTGCTTGCAGTTGAGTTGACTTCGCAGTGCAGCACATGAACCCACCATGCCACCCCAGGATTTCACTGGAGAAGTACGCATTGCTTTATTTCACCATTTTATACCGAGGAACTGTGTGCTCAGTGAGTTCCCTCCTTTGTGACCAAGGCCTCCCAGAAAGTAATGACCAAGAGGTCAGGGTTCAAAGCTGGGGCTGACACCAGAGCTTGTGTGTTTTTACTTCTGCTATATGGTGCCATATTCTTCACTTGGCTTCTGTGATAGTTCAGCCTTTGTGTCAACTTGACTGGCCCAGGATTCTTAGTAGTTTGGCTGTTGAGATACAGCTGTTCCCACAAGATTTGATTTGATGTGAAAACCAGTAAGAGTACTAAGGGCGGGGGTGTTGTTGTTTTTAAATGCAGTTGAGTTGGTTCTGACTCATAGTGACCACATATAGGGTTTCTGAGGAGTGAACCACCGATCTTGTGGTTTGAAGCCCATTGCTGATCCTTCATACCATCCTAAATCCCTCCACCATTGTGATCTGATTTATAGGAGATGCCCAAGGGTGTGGCCTGCAGCACCTTTTCTTTTACAGGAGATAAAAGGAGAGAGAAGAGAGCTGAGAAGGAGGGGCTTCTACCACCAAGAAAGAAGACCTGGGAGTGGGGGGTGTGGACCTGTAGATCCAGGGGAAGATTGATGCTGAAATACACGGAGAACTCCAAGGAATTCTGGGTCTACAAGGTCCAAAGCCATCCTTCCCCAATAACCTGCACTCTGAGTTTGTACTGCTAGCCTCCTAACCTGTGGGAGAATAAATTTCTGATTGTTAAAGCCTCCACTTGTGGTATTTCTGTTATAGCAGCAGTAGATAACCAAGACAGCTTCCTGAGACCCTGGAGTAAAGATCACATTTCCTCATCAATGCATATTTGATTTCCAGAATGGCTGTGGAAAGAGCACAGCTTTATAAAGTGATTTGCTTTGTCCTGCTGAACAAAATATTGACGTTAAATATGAAACTGTTGTCTAGAAACTGCCTAAGCTTTCTCCTGAGAAGCTCACAGAATTCCCAAGATTATTTGTAGTGATCAGATCAGATGATCAAAAATGGATCCGTGGTATTGGTACTGTTGTACCACCCTCACCACCATTTGTTTCCAGAAAAATGACATCACCCCAAACAGACATCATTTCTGCCTGCCCATCAAGCATTAACTCCCTCTTTTCCTCTCCCTGAGCCCCTGAGGACCGCTAAGTGTGCTTCCTCTGGGACTGCGTCTTGTAGGGATTTCATGTAAGTGGAGTCATAGAGTATTTGTCCTTGTGCATTTGGCTTATTTCACTACCATAGTGCCTTCAGGGGTCACCCATGTTGTACCAGGTGTGAGAACTTCACTCTCTTTGTGGCCAAGTAAAGGTCCACATGTATGTATTATACCACATTCATCTGTTGATGGACATTTGGATTGTTTATACCTTTTGACTATTGTTAATTATGCTACAGTCCACATTGGTGTCCTTGTATCTGTGTTGAGTCCCTGCTTTTAATTCTTTGGAAAAATTTGGCTTGGAGTGGAATTGTTAGGTTATATGGTAACTCTATGTTGAATTGTTTGAGGAAACAGCAGTGCACAAGGGTTTTGATGTCTCTACTTCTTGCCTCATATTTGTGATTATTGACTTTTTAACTCTAGCCAAGCTAAAGGTATGAGGTGGGACCTCACTGTGTCTTTTCTGTGCTTCTTGCTGATGGCTAGTGACTCGGAGTATCTTTTCATTTGCTTATTAGCCATCTTTCTTGAGAAATGTCTGTTCAGATCTTTTGCCTGATTATAAATTGGTTCTTTGTCTTTTTATAATGGAATAGTAAGAGGTCTTTATATATTCTAGAAGGAAGTCCAGAACCTTTTTTCTAACTGGGTTGTCTCTTCACTTTCTTGACAGTGCCCTTTGAAGGGTTCAATTTCTGTGAAGTCCAGTTTATCTCTGTTGTCACTGCTGCTACCTTCAGTGCCATACCCTAGGCAGCTCTCTTTCCCTGCTTTTTGAAGACTCAATGTCTTGGGCTTCATTTGATTTGCCGTTGTTAAAGAATTAAGAGTGTTCACAGCAGTTGTTCTTCATGCTGAGACCCAGACCCTAATATGTTGATGATGGTTGTTTTTTTTTTTTTTTTTTTCAAAATCGCATCAAATGGCATTTAGCTGAAAATTCCAATCCTGGTATATAACATAAATGGAAATTGATATACTTTAATTGAATTAAACAGCATAATGAAAAATAAAATCCATAGTATTTGTTTTAAAGCATTTTATTCGATAATCTGCTTTTTATACTTTTATGTATTCGATAATTCTGCTCCATTCCTTGGTGTGTGCCGTGGACGTTCCTGTTCCTTGTTAACCTGCAGGCCCCACAGAAGGGCTGTGAGTTGAGGAAGGCGGTGACTGACAGCTGGAGTGTGGAGTAGCTCACTGGTAAAGGAGCTGGATGATGAGCTGTGAGGAGAAATGCCTGATGCTAATTAGGGTCTCTTTAGAAACTTAATTGTGAACTCCTTGCTGGCAGGGACAAAGGATAGAGCTGTGCTTTTAAAATCTCCTTTCTTTTCCCCTAGAACTTGGGCTTCTATTCGGGGAAGGCCTACTGGGTTGACTTGGTCTGTTTTCATGGTGAGGTTCACTTAACACTAAGTTTCTAGCCAGGCCACTCGTGCACAAAGCAGAGCAGTAGATTGGAAGATCCTGGTGTACAGGGTGGCGATAGGGCAACGGGGCCATTGCGCGGGGGCCTTTCCCCAACCCGGAAACCCTGCTTTTCCTCACGGGCTGATACCTGCTTGTGGCCTAGGGGACCGTGGAATAAGCACAGGGCAGCCTGATGGAGGCCAGTTTCCCGATTTCCTGCCACTGGGTTTAGACTTTAGGATTCCTTTTCTTGCTAGGTGGTCCGAGCCTTCATGCATTGTCACTTTCCTTTGCAGGTTATGAGTGGCTCCTGACACGTCCGTTCCTGACAATGGATTCTGACCTGAAACCCGGGAAGGACGAGGACGCAGACCAGGACACAGAGGCACCAGACCTGAGCTCCATGCCCCCCGTGCTTGTGGAGTGCGGCCTCCAGTCTCTGGTCACTGCAGGTTCCTCCCTGCAGACGGCTCACACAGATCCCGGGAGGAAGGAGGAGAATCCCGCAGGGAAACGAGGCTTTCCAGAATCACCAGACCCGGGCAGTGCTGGCCTGGAGGAAGAGCAGAGCGCACATGTTTCCAAGCGAATGAAGCTCGAGGAGGGAATGAAGCTGGAAGAGGCAGAGGCCCTGAAGTATGACCAGCAGGACGCCAGCACCTCCCACCATGCTGCTGAGAACACCGCCTCTGAGGAGAAGCCCCCGCAGGAAGCCGTGTCCCTGGGTGTCCCCTCCCCACTGCAGGAGGTCAGTGTGAGCTGCACTGTGGACAGTGTGGACCCGGTGTTCAAGTGCAGCACCTGCGGCCACATGTTTACGTCCTGCTCTGACTTAGACAAGCATGCCGCCTGCCACCTGCAGCTGCCCCAGGTACACACCTGCTGCCACTGTGACCACCAAGCTGAGAGCAGCCCCGCCCTGCACCTACACATCCAGCATGCTCATGAGTCACAGCAGCTCTTCACCTGTGACCTGTGTGGCTTCCAGTGTGTCGGGGAAAGCCTGTGGAAGGCGCATTATCTCGGCAAAACACATCTCCGGCGTCAGAATCTTGCGGCCCGTGGGGGATTTGTACAGATGTTGACAAAGAAATCCTTTCCTAAGAAGCCATGTACCCTGGGAACAAAAAATGTCCGTGCAAAAGCCAAAGCCTCTAAAGCAATAGCTAAGAGTCGGGGCCCTAAAGGACGACAGAGCAGTGGGAGCCAGTGTAAGGCTTTCAGAGAACGCACTTCAAAACCAAGTGGTGGCGCCAGTGAGCTTCTTGTTGAAATGGTGCCTTCCATGGGTTTCGCCTCAGAAAAAGGGACGATCCTTGAAGAAAGTGATGGAGCTCGAAACCCTGAAAACCAGAGTACAGCACTGGGAACGTCAGCAACCTCAGAGAGTCTCTTAGATATGTTGGAAACTCCCCGAAATGCCCTCCAGAGCACACACAGTGTCAATATGAGACCCAGGCCTGAGCAAAGTGTTCTAACGTTGGGGACTAGCTTTCGAAGACGAAGTGGCACTTTCTCCACAAAAGGCCAAGCCAAGAAAAGATTTAATCTTTTGGGAATGAATAAAAGAGGCCCCAATGAAACCCAGAGGCTGTATATGAAACACTTTAGAACACAGGTGAAAACAGGTGACTCCAAAGCCACCACTCAGCAAGCAGAACTGAAGAGCCCTGTCATGAGCGTGTGTGTGTCTACCTCGGCAGACCCTCGGCAGGAAGTGAGGCAGGACCAGAGCAGCTGTCAACTTCCAGGCTCTGTGCAGCTCGATGCGCTGGCGGTGAAGCCAGCTCCAGGCCCCCATGCGCTGTGGACTTGTACAGACTGTGGTCACATAGCTATGAGCAGGACCGACTGGGAAATCCACGTCGGGAAGTGCCACGCAAGAGTGAGGCAGCTGTATTGCCAGATGTGCAGTTTTTCAACCGCGTCGGGGAGGGACTTGGATGAACATCTGCTCAGTGCCCACCCCCAGCAGCCTGCCTCTGTCTTCACCTGTCAGTGCTGCCCTGTCATCTCCTTGACTGATGGGAGTCTTCAGGACCACATGAAGGAGAAGCACAGTATGGGGTTTCGTTGTGCTCCTTGTCATCTGTTTTTCTTAACTGAGAAAGAGGCGGAAGAACACAAAACAACTGAGCAGCATCTTGGCACATTGGTTCAGCCAACGCCGCCTCAGTCTGGTAACACTGACTTGGTTTTACAGACATTACCTTTAAGTACTTTAGAACTGGCCAATACAGACAGATCCATGAAGGAGTCTGGGAAGGCAGCTCAGCAGGAACCCCAGTCTAGGGTAAGCGATGGAAATGAAGCAAAGCATTCGGCTCTAAGTAAGCCCCAGTTTCAGTGTAAGAAGTGTTTCTACAAAACAAGGTCTTCCACTGTTCTTACAAGACACATAAAGCTGAGGCATGGCCAGGATTCCCACTTCCTGTGCAAAGCCTGTAATCTTTACTCACTCAGCAAAGAAGGCATGGAGAAGCACATCAGGAGAAGTAAGCATCTAGAAAACGCGAAGAAAAACAACATTGGCTTCAGCTTCGAAGAATGTATTGAAAGGGTCTGTATAGGTGCCAATGATAAAAAAGAAGAGTTTGGCATTTCTGGAACTGGAGGGAGTGAGGGCCACGCAGAAGGGGAGCTGTTGCAGGAACATTCCTCTCTTGAGAAGAACACACTGACGACAGGAGAACGGTCTCAGTCTGCCCTCGTCACCAAAGATAATGACTTGGCTTTGACCAGTGCCCCAAAGAGAGGCAGACCTACAGGCCACATGTCCAGGACGTGCTCGCACTGTGGTCTTCTGGCCTCTAGTGTCACCAACCTGACTGTTCACATTAGACGAAAGCACAGTCACCAGTATAGTTATCTTTGTAAAGTATGTAAGTACTATACTGTAACTAAGGGAGACATGGAACGCCACCGTGCCACCAAGAAGCACAAAGCACGTGTACAAGTAGAAACCCATGGAAAACAAAGTGCAGACATCATCATTGGCCCCGAAGGGGGTCATCTCGAAGGTTGCAGAAAGACCATCAAATCAGCAGTGGTCCTTCCCGATGAACATGCTGCCCAGTCAGCCAAGTCCAGTACCCCCGTTTCCGAAAGGCCCGCGGTAGACCCTGGAAACCCCACTGAAGTTGAAGTTGACAATGTATTTCATTCTGTAGATGGGGATGTGAGCAGTCACCTTATGGATAAAAAGGAACAATCGTCTCTAAACCCAGAGGATCTTATCCAAGACAGGGATGCCTGTTCCCCGAGAGACGTTACAGGAGCGAGTGACAATAAATGTGCCCACTGTGAGTTCAACGCTCACTCCTCTGCTTCTCTGGAACTGCACGTAAAACGGAAACATACGAAAGAGTTTGAATTTTACTGCATGGCCTGCGATTACTATGCGGTTACCCGGCGGGAGATGAGCAGGCACGCCACCACGGAGAAGCACAAAATGAAAAGGCAGTCTTACCTGACCTGTTCGAGTCAGGAAGCAGCAGGTTCTTCAGAAACGTCCAAAGGTGTCGTCATCACTGAAGAGGAGCAGCACCAGAGTGCTCAGGAATTTCAGATCATCTTCAACCAGTCGTCAGATCCTCTGAAGTCTGGAAACGCCCCTGAATGCTCTATTTTAGATGTGAGTACGGATGTAGATATGTCCAAAGTACTCTGTGCTCCCGATTCCGTAGAAATTGAGGCTGAAGAAGAATCTCATTTCAGCGAAGAGCGTCCTTTTTGTGAGACTTTCCAGCAGCCCCTTGTTAAGGCCACAACTGTAAAACCCGAGCAGGTAGTGTCACTTAATATATCTGCCACTTATGGCTCCCCCAGCAAACTTCAGAATGAAAACTCGGGAAGCCCAGGTTTGAGTTGTGAAATAGCAAAGGAAAAGCACACAGGGCCGAGTGAGCCATGTGGGCCCAGTGCACATGCTGACAGTACTGGAGGAGCTGTAGCTACGGACCCTCCTCTCAGTCCCGAAGCTCTGCCTGTTGTGATGCATTTGACGAGAGAACAGCTGGCCCTGGGCAGCAGTGAGCCAAGCAGAGCCGGCGGTGTGCCTACTGCGGAGGGTTTGCAAGGGACGCAGGAAGCCAGCGTTCTGGAGAGCAGAGAAGTGCCAGTGAAGCCCCACCAGGAAACGAAGCTTCTCTTGGAAGATGGTGGCCTGGCTTCTGATGGCACGCTTGATGGCAGTGACACGTATGAGACTGTAATCAGCCTCGATGACAAGGGCCAGGCCGTGTACAGTTTTGGCCGGTTTGACTCTTCCATAATCAGAATAAAGAACTCTGAGGATGGTGAGTTGGTAGAGCAGTCTGAGGAAGGTCTGGTGGCATCTGGGGTACGAATCAGTGAGCTGCCCTTTAAAGACTCTGCTCCCGGGGCGAAAAAGAAGAAAAGTGAAGGCAGTTGCTTTGCTGAGTCAACACGGATTCGCTGTGATGACTGCGGCTTCTTAGCAGACGGCTTGAGCGGACTGAACGTGCACATCGCCATGAAGCACCCCACCAAAGAGAAGCACTTCCACTGTCTCCTGTGTGGGAAGTCCTTTTACACCGAAAGCAACCTGCATCAACACTTGGCCAGTGCTGGCCACCTGAGAAACGAGCAGGCCAGCGTGGAAGAGCTTCCTGAAGGCGGAGCCACCTTCAAATGTGTCAAGTGTACCGAGCCCTTTGATTCGGAGCAGAATTTATTTCTCCACATCAAAGGGCAGCATGAGGAACTGCTGCGGGAGGTGAATAAGTACATCGTGGAGGATACTGAGCAAATCAACCGGGAGAGAGAGGAGAACCAGGGGAACGTGTGCAAGTACTGCGGGAAGATGTGTCGCAGCAGTAACTCGATGGCGTTTCTGGCGCACATTCGCACTCACACAGGTATGTGATCACTTCGTGGACACGTGTGTCCCTCTAAGGGCCGGTGAGCACGACATCCCGATGTTGCGTCCCATCGGGTGTGCAGGCCTCATCTGCCGCTGTGTATTAGCCCCCACGCAATTGCCATTCCTCAGAACGCTGAAAGCACAGGTCTGAGGCTTGAGACGTTTCTCTGTCTGTCTGTCTGTCTGTCCGCCTTGTCAGAAGCCTGTTGCATCTGTCCTGGTGACTCTGCTGGATTCTTACCTCTTAGAACATTCCAGCTATTTCTAAAGTCCCAATGAGTTGGTTTTCCAACATGTGTCTGTCTGTTAAGTGGCATTCTGTGTTTCAGGGGCCTTTGAGGAATGCAATGATACAGCATTTCTTACAATTTTAGGGATTGAAGAATACTCTTTGTCTGATATTTTGATATTCAGACATGTGCCTCCCAGGTACCAAACCTTCTAGGTTCAACATCCGTCAGCCCTTTTTCAAGTCGGTTTCTGGGGATTTGATGTTTGTGGAGGTGGCACCTGATTTCGTTTTTATGATCTATCACACTTAGTGTGAAATTTTAGCGTTTAACTTCAGGCAGAAATTAAAACAAATAAACAGAAACAAAAAATCGCAAGTTTTTTTGTGTGGGAAATGCCTAAGCCATTCTAAATTTATGTAGAAATTCACGGCGCTGTTTCTATAAAGCTGCCATACATTCTTTATTTTAAATAGACAGCTTTTCTAAATCACTGTGCTCTGCTTAGACAAGCTCTGTCTCCATGGTTGAATTTATGAGTGGATTTGAATAATAAATTCACATTTCAATGAACATATTTTCATTAAAACTGTAAGGTTTATTTTACTGTACTTTTAAATAATGGCTTATTATTGAAGCTATACTTTAAATTCATGCAGTTTTTGAAACTTAGTGCATGGTTACAAGGAGGAAGACAAAAGAGTATCAAACATTATGAATTAGTTGAGTGTGATTAAAGAGAGATCAAAGTTTTTTTCATTGAAGAAAGCCACAGGACCACCTCTGTGAAGCACAGCGAGGTGAGTGTAAACAGGGTAGTGGTTCTCCGGCAGTGAAGGTAACGCTCAGGTCCAAGTGCATTCTCAGTACTACCGTCAGCACTGTGCTGTGCCCACTTCTGCCAGTGACCCAGCTTTAGAAGTCAGGCTCCTTCACGTGTGTGGAAGATAGGTACTTTCTTAAAATGCCCTCTTAAAGGCAGATAAAACGGAATAAAACGAAAAGGAAGATGCTAATGGAGCTCTTTTTAGAATTCTTTATGCAACTGTCTGGTCAAGACATGTTGCTTATAATTGATGTGTCCATTACTTGAATTCTCTTGTAATTATAGTCAATAAGTCTTGTAAATGTGTTAAAGCTCACTAAAAGCATACAAATTCAAGAACAGAGTGAGGCTAATAATTTAAAATAATCAATGGAGGCATTTCAGCACTTAATTTCCCTTGTGTGTTGATAGCTGATCATTCTTTATCCATTAAGATTTATTTAGTCGTTTACAATGCAAAATAGGTTTGCACTGGTCACTGGTGCCATTTGAAAATGTCCACCAGGTTAAGTGCAGAGCGTAGTCCATTAGTCTTCCTTGACTATATGTATTAATTGCATTTAAAATCAAGTTAATGTGGATGTGAAAGTGAGGGAGCTATCAATATGTGACAGAGTAACCCTGCTTATAGAAGTGACATCACTGATTGTAACATTTAGTAAAAGTTAGCAGACTTTCTAACATCTCGCGTTTTTATAGTGCTCTGAGACGAGCCCTGTGCCTGCGTGCACAGCGCCAGCCCACCATTGCGTGTGGTGAAGTGCTGTCCAGCTTTTTCTCCAAGTTGGTTTTCTTGAGCACCTTCACACGGACCGCCCCTCTGACCCTCCACTAAGGAGAGATGCAGACACGGTCACCAATGGGTAACTGGGGAAGGCTTACTCTGCCAATCCCGGTGTCATATTTTCGAACTGACTCTAGGGCGGCTAGAAGTGCTCCTTCCCATCCCAGTGTGTAAGAGCCACTCTGAGAAACACATGGATCCTAGTTTAGGACAAGGCCTCCCCCAGTGCTTCCTGGGACCTCTGCCTCTCCTCTCCTATAGATCCTCTCACATTCGTGGTGGCCCCCTCTCCTGTGTATGTGCTAGGGGCGTGGACTCTCAGGAAGCCCGGCAGGACTGAGGACATGGCCGGGAAGCATTGAATCAGCGGCTCCGTGGACTTGGACTTGATTCCCTTAAGACCTAAGCGGGGGTTAACAGTGTTCACGTCACACCCAGGGATGCCTAGCCTTGGCTCATCACTGGCTATTGAGAGGCGCCCGTTAGGGTGGCAAGACTTAAAGTCCTCGGAGATCTTTTGGCAAAGTGATAAGGTGCCAGAAAATGAGCCTTTTTCATTTTTTCCCTTTTAAAGGCCAAATTAAAGCAAACAGAAACACCTGCTGAAGATGATGTGCTTCCAAGGAGGGCGACTATTTAAAGTCATGTTGAAAGTTTATAGTTATCAAAATATGCCCGAGAAAAAGAAATACATGGTTTTATAAGTTTTGCCTTATAAATGGTATGCCAGGATTGCTTTTGGAAAGCAGATAGCAAAGTTAAAACTGAAATATTGTTGGTTTTAACAAACGCCCCCAAATATTTTTTTTGTCTTATATAGATCAATATTGCCTCTAGTCTGCTAGTATTGGAATGTTTATGGCACAGACAAGAAATATAGTCAAGACCTCCCTGATTTTAGGGGGAAAGCGGTCAGCAAAATCTCTTCCTTATTTGTGGTCCACACTGCACAGTGGTTACTCAGGCCTGGGGAAGATTGAGTTCCCCACAAAGGAGCCGTGTTCAAGTATTGGAAGATCCCAGAGGTCCGCTGTTGCCAGTCCTTTGTGAAGCCTGTGGTGACAGAAAGAGGAACTAATCTGGAATTTAATTGCCACATGAGGAAAATGAAAAGTTAAATCCATTAGATACATGAAATCCATTAACCAAAATTGTCCTACAAGTATTGGGAGAACTTTATCTTCTTTGTTTGGACTCTTGGTATTATTGCTAATTAATAATGTCCTAATTACTTTATTATTGGAGTGCATTTTAATTTTAAGTGCAGGTAAATTGGTTCCTGTCAGTAGTTTCCCCCTTTTCAAAAGCCCCTTTATGGAGTTCTGTGTTGATATGAAATATATTCACAGCATTGATAGGTTTAGTTTTATCAGAATCATTTAAATAAACTGTAGTTTCTAATGTGATTGATAGAATGTGATTGCTGTACGCTGCAGTCGCAACCTGCTTGTGACATTTAAACATCTAAAGCTGACGAGATGTAACCGTTCAGGTGCTAACTATATTTTACATCTACTCCTAACAGTAGGAATGGGAGTATTAAGAGCTCTGCCTTCATTGTCATTGAAGTGTGAAATAGGCAACCTTGTCTGCCAGTGCTTAGTTCTGTTGACTTTTTTATTTCTGTGAGAAGATGAAAATTAAATGCTTCACTTTTTTTGTCAGCTTTTGGGAATTAAATTGAAATTTAGGACTCTAAAATTTTTTACTGAGTGCTTCAATTTCAACAAAGTATTCTTGGAGGATTTTTTCCCCCCTTCCAAGGGCATTGCACAAAGGTTCATTGATCAAATATGATTTATTGCAGTTTTTTTTATCTGGATTCCTTTTGTATTTTTATTAAAGTTCACATATTTTATATGATGTCTACCTATATTAGAAGAGGTCATTCACCAAATATGTACTAGGTATGATACGAAAAATCTGGAAACACTGTGCAGATTTTGAACTGTGATTTTTATGGTAGCGATGTGTGTTTTAGAGTTGTTGTTAAGTGCTGCCGAGTTGATCCTGACTCATGATGATCCTGTGTAGGGTTTCTGAGGAGCGGATGGTGAGATTGAACTGCTGACTTTGCTGTTCAGAGGACTTTGCAGTCCAGCGCATGAACCCAGAGCTTCCCTGACAACCCCACCCTCCCCTCCCCACACTCTTTCCCCTTAGAGTTAATAGTTGGGAAGTTAGAAGGTGGTATGTACCTGTTACACTCTAACAGTATTGTTTCTTAGTAACGCACTTACTAAGTAGCTACAGTTGCCATGTTGGAGTTACAAGCTATCTGTTGCTGACAATACAAATAACTTTACTTCCTTAAGAAATTATTTAAAAAAAATTATTGATGGTTTGTGTTGTGTGTTTAAAATTGTTTTTGAAAGAAATAATAGCTACAATGTCAATACTTCTAGTTTGCAAAACAGCACAAAATTTTGACTATAAAACAATCATAAAAACAAAACATATTCTCTACTGTATCTCAATATATTATATGCTATTCAAATAGCAGGGTCATGACCCATTTGGGATAAACGGCAGACAAATCTGAAATGACATTGTTAATGTAAATACATTCAGAACCAGAGAAATATCAGGAAACTAAGAAATTGATTGTATGATAAATATACTTTCAAAAATCCTGTGTGCATTTGTGCTTTTAAAGTGCCCTATTTTAAATGTTGAGTGACTTTAAAGTATATTTGTATGTAGTATAAGAAAAATATTCACGATCATTTAGCTCACCTCAGCTGTTTGAACTGCAGGTCGGTGGTTAAAGCTCACCAGCTGCTCCTTGGAAACCCTATATAGGGTCGCTGTGGGTCGGAACTGACTTGACGGCACTTAACAACAACAACAACGTCACGTAGTTCTGCTCATTTGTATAACTTTTGACTTTAAATTTCCAAAATATTATTGAGCATTATGAACCTTCTTCAGAAGAGTCAAGTCTCGTAGGTGGAATAATCATGGAATGCTGGTCTACTCAGAGGATTCCTGGTAGTACAGCCATCAAAGTGCTTGGCAGCTAATCAGAAGGTTGTTGGTTCAAATCCACCAGCCACTCCTCAGGGGAAAGATATAGCAGTCTGCCTTCATAAGAGTGGCCACCTTGGAAACCCTTTGGGTATGGAGGGTGAGTCAGAATCCACTGAGGGAGACCGGGCTGGGTTTGGTCTATTTAAAGTGGTAAACAAATGCAAGTAGTCTGTTTTGGGGACGGAAGATTCTTGATTAGATTAAAGGTATGATTGACGATTTAGGCCCCCTTTAAGATGTTCAGTATAGTATTACTCAAATTCAAATCATATTTTATGTTAACTTTACTTAGGATCGAAACCATTCAAATGCAAGATATGCCATTTTGCCACAGCTCAGCTTGGAGATGCCAGAAACCATGTGAAAAGGCACCTGGGGATGAGGGAGTACAAGTGCCATGTCTGTGGGTGAGTAAACCGGAGCCCTCACTGCCCTGAGCCAGATGGCAGCGTGCTGGGGGACCCATTGTTTCCCCACGACTCAAAACTGAGAGGAGGAAGAGTGGTGAAAAAGAGGCGCGTGCACGCGCGTGGCCTCTTTCCTATTGTTATGGTAAATTCCTTAAATACAGTTATGACATTCTTTCCCCACTTCTAATCCTGCACTGAAGATGAGCAATTTTATGGGCTGCAAGGTCAATTTGAACCTGTAATCTGTAAATTGACTAAATTATAGGATGTTCATTCACATTGCCAGAGAGAACTGTAAATTCCATGAGTTGTTGTCAGGTGCCGCTGAGTTGGTTCCGACTCATTGCGACCCACCTACAACAGAACGAAGTACTGCCCGGCCCTTCACCCTCCTCCCAGTGAGTGGGGCTGTTGGAGCCTACCGATTCCATCGAAAGACATGAAAAATACAGAACGTAGCTTTAGGAATGTAGGCACATGCGTTTTTTTTCCCCTTCAGCTATCCTGCTTTAATTTTCTTCGCATTAATGGGCCTTTGGTTCCATTGGACACATTTTATAAGAGGAAAACCATAAGACTTAATTTCAGACAGCTGGCCGCTAATTATTGCAGAGATGTCGCTTAAAACACAGTGCATAATGTATGTTTTTGTATAACTTTATTTCAAAAGATGTTGTTTTCCTTTTCTTAGCTAATGGTTATTTCCTCTGAAGAATCATTCATAATGTTTAATTGTCACTCAGATGTGTTGCATTTAATAGGAAGCACTGAGATGCCTAATGCAAAACTAATTAATTTAGCGGAAATGTTTAAAAGGTTTTAAAATGCCGTGACATATATAGTATTTTGTCAGACTTTCAGAGTTGGAATCTTAATTTCTTACATCTGATTAAGAATATATTTTAATGTTTTTATGCTAGAGAAATGAACTCATAAGTGCATCACACAGAAAAATCTTTTCTGTGAGACCTGAGAAACCTGCACTTCTTAATGGCTAATTCACATAATAGTGCGGGTTCAGTGAAAAGACACAATGCTGTACACATGTTGTACTAGCGTTCTGTTAGGAGAGGCCCTGCCATGCACATAGTTTCCAAGTCAAAGGCAGACTTTGCTTATGGTTGGACAGTACATTTCATCCCAGGCTGCAGTTGCATTTCTTGACCCTTAAGATAGTTTCACAAATAACTTTGCAAGCAGTTTTATTAACCATGGCCCATGATTGATTCCTTGGCAGGATTGATGGCTCACTGACTTGCAGCTAAAGTAAATGAAGATGAACCTTTGCCCGAAAGCGCCCTGAAGATCAGTGGCAGAATGAGTTTTGTTACTTCTGATTTTAGCTGCAAGGGTCAAGTGCCAAATGGTTCATTTTAATTGCTCTAGGCCTTGGGATTTTCACAGATACCTCATTTATTGTTTTGAGCATGTGAATTATAGGAAAGAAGAAGGCCCTGACTCCCTTGGACACTGGCTGTTAGATAGCAGTCAGCAGCTTCTCCCCCATCTCTGTGAACTAAGGAAACAATTGATTCATTTGTGCTAGGGTCACTAAAACCCTGGAAAGAAAACATGAAGCTTTCCAGAGCACAGTTTCTGATATATATAGCATCAGCAGCAATGCCTAATTGATCGGCTTTAATCATCACTGTGAGTCAAAACCAACTTGACAGGACTTAACAGTAGCATCAACATACTGGACGTAGCTAATGACTTACCACACACAACTAAGCATTACTCCACTCGTTTATGCATTTGATTCCCAAGATACTGAATTACAAATAAGTATGCTTATGTTGAGTGTTAGTTCTACTGCTATCATTGAAGTTTGTATGTGTGTGTATATATAATAAATAAATAAATTCTAGGTCCCAAAATTGTATCTCCTAGAATCACGCTAGTCATTGAATTTTACTGACTGATCTATCATTTCCTTTACTTTTTAAAAATGAAATAGGATTTTCCCAGTTAATATCATAGTGCTTTAAACAGGGTGGCTGTTGCCACAATGAAGATAAAAGTTTGGGAGCATTGAAGTAGCCTGAATGCCAACCATTTGTTGTATAGTTGAAACAGGGTAGTATTACGTTAGGTTCTCTGTAATGTGAAGTGGAATGTCCTGTAGACTGTTCTGTATTTTGTGCTTCAATGGGACTGGCCAGTAGGGAAGTTACAATTTAAGTGGAAAACATGTTCAAAGGCCAGGATTGGCTGTGAGATGAGTGGTACCAGAGGCCTTTGGTGCATTACCATCCCTGACATTGTCAATTCATTATCCCTGATGGCTAAATCATCTCAGAAATGCTCAGTGGACCTATTAGTTCCTCAACATAAGCAGCTCACGCTGCATTTCTTCATTAGCTTTAATTGCTATAAATTTTACCTTTTAAAAAAGCATGCTTTAAAAGGTGAAGTGATCTTTCAGCAACATTAACTCTGTAATTTTGTCACAAACACAAGTCCTGCACCGTGTGTGCTTTTCTACAGCCATGCATGTCTTAGTGACTTGAACTTAGTGTCTTTGAGAACTTGAAGTGATTTTCCAAACAGCCCTGATTGAGTAATGGTAGATGAAGAGTGGGGCAGGCACATGTTTAAAGTGAAATGATTTCTCATAGCATTGTATTCTCTTTTTCTCATAAAACTTGTTTTTCTTGGAAAACCTAATCTTTCATGGTGAAATGGATGAAGACATTTAACTTGAAGACTTTATCCAAATGCATTTTGGTGAAGTGAACTGATTGCTAATGTTTTAAATTATTTGACTTCTTTTTCATAGTGTTCTCGTTCTATGTAAGAAGATTTAAGTGCTCATTAACCATATGTCTTGTGGGGTGTTGTTTTTTTGTTTTTTTTTTTCCTCTGCTAAGGCTTAGTTTTAGGGTTTTCCTTAGCAACTTCCTTAATAAAAAACTGCCTTGTGCACTCTCACACCTACTGTCTGATCCTAAGCCAGTTATCTTAGTGTCTTAAAGATCACTTTGAAGATACCATTTTCCCTTCACTGGCAGGTCTTAGCTACGCCTTACCTATCATGGACTTAGGTTCCTTTGACATCAGCAGCTGAATGCATTAGACAGCTGGTTCCAGCTGAGTAGCGAGGAGTCAGAGTTCCAGATTTCGGTGTTCGTGTGCTCACGTCACAGGGAAATGTCACAGGTGGGGGGACATTGTTGTACACTTGTTGTTTGAAGTACATGTTCCAGCCAGTCGTTGTACCTTCACTTTTAGGAGAAGCAGGTTTTGAGAATGTTTTTCTTCAATCTGACTGTGTTCTCAGGAGGACCACTATCGACTATAGACTGTTCCGGCTCGGGGCAGGGAGTTCACATGAGAATCTGGTGCACACCTGACAGAGGACTTCGTGGGGGATGAGGAGACATCAGAGAAGGAAGGCATCACTAGCTAGGCCTGACCACTTTTGTTGGGAACATGTTTAAAAATAGGTCCACATATTTTTACTAAATCCATGGTATTTACCTTTATGTTTTTAGCAGTCAAGAGCTTTGAAAAGCTCCGTGGTTTAATAACAATTATGTTGTTGTTGTTGTTATGTGCCGTAGAGTCGGTTCTGACTCATAGCGACCCTGTACAGGGTTTCTGAGGCTGTAAATCTTTACGGGAGCAGAAAGCATCATCTTTCTCCCACGTAACAGCTGGTAGTTTCGAACTGCTGACCTTGAGGTTCGCAGCCCGATTCGTAACCACTATACTACCAGAGCTTATAGACACCATGTTTTGCTAACTTGTTACATAATTGTAATTGTTTTGGTGTGTATGTGCATGCATATCAACGTGGAGCCATCTAAGCATGGAGATAAACCAGCACCCATAGGAGGCTCTAGCAGGAGGGCCTTTGTGTCTGTGCAGTGCTTTGTGGCCAGCCCACATTTCTCCCGTATGCTGACCTTTGTAGCTCTATGACATGGTTCACCCTAGGAGATCGTTTTTATGAGATTTTGTTTATTATTCTCATTCGACAGACAGAAACTTGAGGTTCAAAGTATTTTTCTGTGATGCGCTTAAATTATGTAACTAGTAATGTCATTTTGATTACCCCTTTCATTTGATTTTTAAAAAAATTAGTTTTTTGTTCTTTCTTTTGGTGGTATTGTTACTGCTTTAATCTGCACATATTTTTCTCTATAGATTGTGCATGGATATAGAATAGATTATTGGGTTTCTGCAATAGCTGTAACGGGTCTCTTTCTCAACACCTCCCCTGCCACCAACCACTTGTGTTGTGTTAGTGTCTTGCTGAGGTTTCTAAGCCCTTGCAGAGTCTTTTACGTTAATATTCTGGTGTTCAGTCTCATCCTTGTAGCTCTGTTTCTGTTTCACTTTTCCCGTTTATAAGTGCTGGTTTAAATAATTCTATTTTCTTTCTCACTCTTCCTTATGTGTTGATAATTTATTGTGTTCTACAAGATGAATGTGCTGTAGGAATAATAGATCTGGATGAGAGGGTCAGATGGATCATCGCAGGTCATCATTTTTGCTTTTCTATAGTAGCTGCTTTTTGAAAGTTAGTAGAAAATGAGTCCATGGGCCCAGGGAAGGAGGATTGCAGTACCTGTACCATTACTCAGGAGAACAGACCCCAACAGGTGTGGTGATGTAGGCCTTGCGTCCCCAAGTGATTTCCGTACATCCAGTCCTGACTCTCAGGTACACAGTGAGTCAAACACCTGAATAGAATTTACCTGATTAGAAGAGAATAAGGGCATCTTCCAAACTTGTCACCTCTGGGTTCCTGCAAAGATTTCTTGACATTTTTCAGTTGTATATTAATATGCATATAACTGTTTATTCATAGTTGGTTTAAGAGACCTTAAATAGAAAGTTACTAATGCCGTAAAACTCTCTCTGTGTGTGTGTGTGTGTCTGTGTGTGTGTGTGGCATTGCCTAGTTTTTGTGCATTAGAAGGGATCTCTATGTAGATGATTATAATGTCACTTTCTGACCTTTGCAGCTTGAATAATTGTAAATCATTGCT